TAAGCAGTTTTTTTTAGCTGCAGTGTTCTTGCCTGAGCTGATGTTGTCCTGACCCAAGGGCTGCTGTGGGGGTGTGTGGAAGAACTGCATGGCTGCCAGAGGCTGCCCTGAGACAGTAATGACATGAACAACTGCATTTTCCTGTCTGCTGGTTCCACTTTCAGCCCCCTGATAGGGAGAATTCTACACAAAATAACACTGCCCTGGGCAGACACGTGCCTGAATGTAGTTCTTGTTGTTTGGAGAAATTTATATGTTTTAAAACCAGTTTTTGATTATTTTTTTATTCTGTTCCAGTTACACCCACTTCTACTACTTCCACTGTCCCCACCACCATCCACACCACCATCCACACCACTGTCCACACTGAATTAGAAACTTCACAAGTTAAATGCTGGTTTGAGAGGTAAATGCTCCACCTTTATTTCCTGCCTCCAAACCCTGAGACTGCAGCCTCCTTCTGCAAGGGAGGGGGTTTATGTCATGTATTTGATGTCCTGGGGGTTTAAAAAGTTCATTGCAATTTTCTAGTCTGTGCACTAGTGATGCTTAAGGCAGATATGCACCTCTTCATCTCATACTGCTTGGGATAAATGTGTTAACACTCCATGAAGTTTGGTGAATTTGAGCACTGCTGATGCTCCAACACCTCTGTTAAAACTGGGGCTTCTGACACGATTTTCTGTGTGTGAACAGTCGTGAAATACTGTACATGTCACTGGCCTTCATCTCTGGCATCCTGCTGACTGTCCTGGTTTTTGCCATCATCTACCTCTCCAGAAAAAGTGAGTAGCACAGTGGAGGGAGTAACAGCAGAGTGGTGATAACTACAGAAGTTACTTTGAAATTTCAAAATTGTGTCTGCCTTGAGTAACTCCCGCGTTGATGAACAGGTCACCCCTGCCAATAACTCCTCAGGGGCTGTTTTCTGGGAGAATTAACTTGACCACTGATGAGCTGGGGAGGTTTTTGTTTGTTGTGGGTTTTTCTCATCCCAACCTTGGCCACACTAAGTTCTCAGTCCCTTTCATCCTGGCCACTTCCAGCAGGTGGGCAGGGACTTGGCAGCCCAAAATGCCCACTTTGCAGGGCAGGTGTGTGACAGATTTCACAGGTTATGTGTCTGTCACCTACCACTGAGCCCCTCCAAACACAGTGCAGACAGCTGAGGCTGATATCCCTCTCCTTCCCAGATTGCAAGAAATCCCACCAAAATTTACAAGGGGAAGTTTGCTTCCAGGCAGCACCTGAGGAATGTGCCAGGAACACCCAGGTAAAGGTCACAACTCTTATTTCTAACCCTTGATGAAGAGACTTCACGTTCTTGACAGGGTGGTGAATATTAATTTGGGGGTGGGAGGGAGAAAAGTCACTTGCTTGAGAGACTTGAGTGTTAGTCAGGAGTTCTTTTGACTAAGGAAAAGGGCTTTCTTCGGGCATCCAAGGCTTCAGCCTGTGTTTATAGAAGTATAGGGATGTACTGAGGAGGTCCCTGGACAGTAGGAGGAAAAATACAGAGCTGAAACACCATATTATACTCCCCATGTATTTCAAGGGTTTAACTAAACCTCTGATTAGGCAGTTCAGGAGAAATCTTTTTAGAAGGCAAGGATTTCTGCAGTTTGCCTTTGTGATATTAATTCTTTGGTAGCCCCTGAACTTGAGACTTGACCCAGGATCCTGAGCCTGACTAACCACTGGCACAAACAAGCCTAGTGTATATTAATTTCCCACGTGTAAGGACAGACTGTTTATGGTGTGTGGTGTTGAGGACAAACTAAAAGTGGTAAATTCCTGCTGACAGGCAGTGCTTAAACACTGTAATGTTTGTGGCTTCTCTCCCATCCTCAGAACGAGGTTACCTACAGCACTCTGGTCTTCCAGCGGAGTCAGACACCACTGGCTGTGTGATGATGAAGTTCCAAGAGAAATAAAAATGTTTTTTTCCACTTTCTGAACGTCAGAAGCCACCAGAACGTTACACCAAGGCCTGCAGTGCCCTGAGGGTGCCAGCACTGCCATCTGTAACATCAGCTCTTTTTATAGTTACAAGGGGAAATTCAGGTCTCCCGTTCCAAACCGATTGCCAAAGGTTGTGGGCAAATTGAAGGTGGTTTGGGTTTTTTTTTTTTTAATACAGTATTTCCTCATCTGTAGAAATCTCCCTGCACTTGTAAAGTTTCCGTTACTGAGCTACCAAAGAGAACTGAGAAATGGAAATGTTTCTCTGCATCTATCCACATCTGGGCCCTTGTGTTTCCCTTTTCTGTCACCAGCCATGGCACTTGGCATATTTTTCTGATTGCCAAGTGCTCTGATTAGTTATTTTCTCTTATTGAAGTGATGACAGTGAAATGTTTGTGTGCAAATGCTGCTTCCTGGTCGGGTCCTGTAAAAGCAATGCACGATCACAGTGTGACAGCCAAAATCTCTCATTCACGTGTTATTACCCACGATGTTCTAAACACGTTGTGAAGAGGGAAAAATCATCCCATTTGGCATCAGCTGGGGAATAAGTTATCATGAGAGACTCTGAGCAGCCACGGAGAAGCTCCTCTGCACGTTCCCACGGATGGGAGGTTTGTTGTTCCCGGGGAGTTCGGGGATCTCCAGCTGCTCAAGGCTGAATGGGAGGGATATTTCCTGCTGGCTCAGCCCTCGGGGCCTCAGAAACCTCCTTGTTTGTGGTCACCAGAGAGTGCCAGACTCTTGCAGGTACTTCTGTTTTCTGAGAACGCTGATATTCGCATGCGTGCTGTTCAAACACTCCTCCAGAGGGATCTCCAGGGCAGGACAAGTGTCCTACAACCTCCTGTGAGCTGCGGCCGAAACATCCGAGAGGCTTCAGAGGAGCGATGCTGGATGTGCCACCTGATGGCAGCACCAAGCCGTGCCTGGGCTGGGTTTAATTCCGCTTAAACGCGGGGCTCTGGTGCCTTTCCAGCCCCGCTCAGCAGAGCAGGGGCTCCACCTCTGCCACCCTCGGTGGGTTGTCCTGTCTCCTCCTCCCGGCAGCTGCTGGAGGTCCAGGGGACCACGTGAAAAAGTGTGGCTAAAACACTTCTATGTTCTGAAATTTGGTGTGTGGTGGTGTGGGTCAGGCCACAGACTGTTCATGGTCTTTGCTGTTATCTGCTCTCATCTCAGTCGTGGCAGTTTCTTCAAGTTCTATTTAAGAGAGAAAAATACCATATTACTCTTTAGTATTTTTAGCTGTGAAGAGATTCACAAGGGATGAGTGTGGTTTGTGCACAGTGTTTTTTAATTTAGTTCAATTTTTGTTTAAAATTAATAACAGTGTTACTCCGCTGCCTGACAGAGAAATAAGGTCTGAAGATTTACCTGGCTTGAACAAAGGTTACTCCCCCACACCAGTAAGTTAGAAAAACAAGGGAAGGTGGCTCACCACAGGCTTCCCCCTCCTCTAGCCCAGCTCGGGGGTGTTGGGTTTTCATGCAGGTGTTTTCTCACTGAGACTCAGCAAAACCATTTCATGTCCACTGTGAAATGCTGCCAACCCCAGCACAGCCCTTGTGTGTGTGTACCTGGGGGGCTGAGGGTGGCACAGCCCTTGGGAGGTGACACAGAATCTCTTTGTTGTGTGGCTGCTGCTGAGCCCCAAACTCATCCCAGAGCATCCCTCTGACTCTCCTTTTTTCCGTGCCAAGAGCTCTGTAGGGTCACACACAGCTTTTAATGGCAACCACCAGCAAATAAAAGTCTTAAATAAAAGTCCTGTAGCTCCAGGAATTTGTGACAAGTGCATCTGCTAATCAGAACAGAGGATTCTGTGTCCTCTGTTTCTGGCTCTCCCATTTTCACTATTTCAGGAGCTTTCTGCTCAAAGTGTTTGTGCTCTTCTCTCCCTCAGGACAAGCTTTCACAGCAGGAATGTGTCTGAGTGTGTCTGTGTCCAGTATAAATTGTCCAGCTCTAGGAGGGTAAGTGGACACAGCTCATGGGTTAAATGGTGCTGTGAAGGATGCATGGACAGCAGTGCCTGTGATGTTCCCTGGCATTTTGCAGTTGACATCTGGTTGCAACGTCAGAAGGGAGAGCAGGGCCAGGGAGCTTGTTCTCAGAAGGCAGGATGACTTCCCCTGCTCTCAGTCCCCTCTCTGTTCTTCCTCCCGATCCTCGTACCTTGTTCCCTTGGAGTTTGGCAGGCAGCCTGCCAGGAATTTGGTGCAGTGTTGCTCCCTCTTTCCTCAGTTCACCAGAAACACATCAGCAAAGTCCCCCGTGCATCGTTCTCACGAATAAATTTCCTGCCTGTGAGGTGGGACCTGTTTTTCTGCTGAAAGCAATCGCTTCCATCACTGATCATTAGAGATCATGTACCAAATTCTGATGTACTTGTGCAGTGCCTTCCTTTGGCTTGTTTATCTATCAAGTTGAACTGTGTAACGAGGCAGAGCTTTGGCCTGGGACAAGGGTTGCATCAGATAAGAAATGAGATGTCTGGTCTCAGCTAAAGGAGCAGATGCCAACGCTCTCTAAGATAAGTAACAGGATGATGCACTCCCTTTTCTGCTTTATCTGGACTACTTTTATTATTTAAAGATGGACAAGAAAGTAGCCTGGCCTTTTATGACCTGTTTTCAGTTTGACCCATGTTCCTTAAAAAGGGGCTGTGTCAGCTGTGGTGTAATAATTAGTGCCATTTTCGTGCCATCCTAGGCAACCAAAACTCTGCAGGCTGGTTTGTTTTGATTGTCAGGGGAGGATTCAGCAGGCTGAATCAACGTAAAATCCATCTAATAGTTATTATTATTCATGACAATGTGACAACCCTGGCTGCAGCACAAGTTGACCAGACTCAAGTTTTAGTCTAAACGGACAGAGAAGACAAAAGGTGTGAAAACAGCCAGTGAGGTTGTGAGCTGCTGGATTACAAACAGCAAGGAACACATTTAGCCTGTTTTTCAGTCAACTCTTCAAAACCTTATGTTAAAAAAAAACCCAAAAAACCCCTCAACACTAGACAGTACTTCCTTCTGTATTTTGAACTTATATAATACAAAGACATATATTCACATACAGCTTTAGGGTAACCTTCAGATCTACATGTTGCTTCATTCTCCCATGAATTCCTTAGCAAAGCCAAGTGGTTTATCAGTTGCCTGGTCTATACAGTCTTAATTTATGACGGTGGGTCTGTTGTTTGCTCTGTAAGAGCCAGGTCTGGTTTTTTGCACAGGATATAGGTCCTTAAAATCAAAAGGTACGTGCTTTTGAACTTCTTTATCTTGCAGGCGTAGACAATGGGGTTCATGGCAGAATTGGCGTGGGATAACAGGATTCCCAAGTACATCCAAAACTGGGGGATCTGAGTCTCAGGGTAAAAATAGGAAATGCAGTTTATAATGCACAGAGGCAACCAGGATATTGCAAACAGGAAGAGAACGAGCGCAAGAGACTTGGCCATCTTGAACTCCTGCCCATAAAAAGCTCCAGCCCCTCTCACGCTGGTCGTGCCTTGACTCAGCTTTGTCCTGATGATGTGGAAGATTTCAGCATACAGGGCACACATGATGAGCAGGGGGACAAGGATCCACGTGAAGAAGCCAAAATACACCATGTAATCCATGCTCATCACGGACATGAATCGGCACCGGGGGAGGTTGGAGTCCCTTGACTTGTTCCAGCCAAACATGGGGACAAATGCAACCAGCAGGGACAGAGACCAGCACAGCCCCAGTGCCCACCAAACTCTTCTCTCTGTAGTGATTCTTTTGTACCTGTGGGGGAAGAAAACCCAGGCTGTGTTAAACGGGAGTGTTTCAAATAGTAAAGGATGGTTTCAAGCACTCACACCTTCAGATACTAAAGTTTCATTATCAGAAAATGGAGCATTAGCTTTTCGGTTTGGTTTTTTTTTTGGGGGGAAACCAAATCTTATCTTGAGACAAGACCCAACCCTACATTTGTAACAGTTACATTGCAGCATCAGTAAGAATTGTGCTTAACTTCCCCTGTTTATAACTGGATGTTTTCATCCATATTATTTACTGTTTCACTATGATTTTAGTGCTTCTCTTGCCAAGATACTGCTTTGCTGCTATTAGCAGTTCTATCTTATTTCTCACCTTCTTTGGGTGTACCTTCCTCTTTATTTCTTTTTATGCCACTTGAAGGACTAAAATGTTGTTTTGCTCTTCAATTTCATAGGCCCTTTCCCTTGAAATGATAATTTCTTTGATGCTTGAGGTTATGCTTTGCATTTTTAGTTTGTGTGCTTTTCCACTCAAATATAAACAGCAAATGACCCAAGTTTACCCTTAGTGTGTTTGTTACTACTTCTGTGTTTTCAGCAAACACTAAAGACCTGCCTCAGAAACCCTAATAATAACTATTAGATGGATTTTACATTGATTCAGCCTGCTGAATCCTCCCCTGGCAATCAAAAAAACCCAGCCTGCAGAGTTTTAGTTGCCTAGGACGGCACGAAAATGGCGCTAATTATTACACCACAGGTGACATAATAATTTGTGGTGTAATAATTTTTAAGAAACATTAAAGGCCAGGCTACTTTCTTGTCCATCTTTAAATAATAAAAGCAGTCCAGATAAAGCAGAAAAGGGAGTGGCATCATCCTGTTACTCATCTTAGAGAGCGTGGAGGTGCAGCACTCACCTGGTCGGCAGCTTCACTCGCAGGTACCTGTCGATGGCGATGGCCAGGAGGGAGAGGATGGAGGCGTTGGTGAAAACCACCATGAGGCAGCACATGAAGAGGCAGGTGTAGAAGTGCAGGGTGATGCCCAGGCTCACCACGATGGCCAGGGGCACCACCAGGATCCCCACGGCGATGTCGGCCAGCGCCAGGGAGGCGATGAAGTACAGGGTGGTGTTCTGGAAGGCGGAGCTCAGCCTCACCACCCAGATCACCAGGACGTTGCCCAGAGTGGCAAACAAAGCCACCAAGCACTCGGTGCCGATGTAAATGCCGTCCAGGCTGCTCAGTGCCAGGCTGTTGTTTGGCATGATGGTGTTCCCACCCTGGCCTGAGCTGCAGGAGGAGACACAGGCATGGATAACCCCGTGTGGGATTTGCCTTCAGTGGCTGGTGCTCAGTCGTTCCAGTGACTTCAAGGTGCAAACTTCTTTCAGTATTTCACGTCCTCCGTGCTCAGGCAGCAAATCAGGTGTTGCCTTCCCACAGAGCTGCAAACTCCTCAGCACCCAGGAGCTGTTCCCCTCTCTGGAGACATCTCCTGAAGCTCACAGCTTCCCTTCGGCAGCATCGTGGCACTGAAGTGCTCTGGAAGGCTGTTTTGAAGGAAAAAACGGAAAAGCTTCCACACTCCTGCTTACCAGCAACTCATAAATAAAGATTTTAACTGCTTCCTCTTTCGAGCCACAGTTTTACAAGTCCGAGAACGTCAACCCCAGTTGATGTGCAAAGCTGTCACTTATCACTTGAGATAATCACTCTGCAGTCACTGTGGCAAATGAGGCAGCTCAGAGGATGTTGAAGAGCACTGCACTAAATTCCAACACCCAATTTAATCCAGGTTTCACCATTCCAGTTAAGGCCCTGAGGTGGCTGAAGAACAATTTTTACTTGGACCTTTCTCAGCCTGACAAGAACACTGGTAACACGGGTGATGTTTTCAGTGAGAGCCCTCGTTTCTGCTGGAAATCGGTGTGACAGCCAAGCTTGTCATGTTCAGAGGGTGCCATATTTTCCTGTGCCTGGTTTGTGGAAGATGGAAAAAGTGAGGGAAGGTGTGGGAAGTGATGGGAAGTGGCAGGGAGTGGGTGTGAAAGCTGAGATGTGCGGGGAGCCCGGCGGTTGTGATGCCCCACTCCTCCCAACGTGGGTCTGCAGTGAAAGAGCTGCTCCCATCCCGGATGGAACTGAGGAGAGAGGCAAACAGGAGCTCACTGACCATGAGCTGTAGAGTGACATGGCTCTTGGGCAAGTAGGAATGCTCCTTCTCCAGGGATGAGCAAGGAAATGATTAGGAGGATGGTGCCTCGTTAGCATAACGAATCCTGAAGCGACCAGGGGTGGTACTTGGTTTCCCAGACACCGAGTCCTCCATCTCTGCCACCCAACTTTCTGGAAACACTGAGCATGGGGAAGTGAAATCAGCCTGAGAGCAGACAGAGCCAGAAATAAATGAGACTTCTTTCTTCCCTGCTATCCAAAGAGTTGGACAAGTTCTGATTCCTTGAAAACAACTTGAGTGCTTCTTGCTCCCTGACTGCAGAGTGTTTTGGTGGAATAACTGCTGGGAACATGGACAATCCCAGCCTGCAACTGAACTTGGCTGTGCTGGCAAAAATCAGATTGAGGAACTTAATTTAAGGCAGATGAGGTTTCTAGAGGTAGAAATCAGCACAGTACTTCTGAATTTTGGACATAAACAGCCTCTGATATCCAAAATGTCAGTGGGCAGCCTGGATCAGATCTGTATCATGACAGAGGCTGTGACTGTGGTGCCTGAGGAACTGGTTGGGTGGTGACATCCAGAGGGAGATGGTTCAATGGCTCAGTGTCCTGGTGGACATCAGGGACAAGTGCTGTCCCTCAGGGGTCTGTACTGGGCCCAGTGTCATTTAATGCCTTCATCGATGGCAGACAAAGGGATTGAGTGCTGGACAGGGGAGAGAAAATATAAGAAAAGCCTTGTGGGTTAAAATAAGGACAGGGAGAGGTCACTTGGCCTTTGCCAGGAGGGGCAAAACTTGTGGAAAAATTAATTACCACTCAGATCAGAGTAGGATAATGAGAAATCAACCAAATTGGCTGCTGGCAGCAGAATGTTCACCATCTGAGGATGCTCTGACTGGGCTCAACGGGGCAGCAGCACCCACTGGTGGAAAGGTGCTTTGGGCTGGGAGGAATCAAGTGGCTTCTGGGCAAGGTGGTGTTTGCAGCAGCCCGTGAGGTTCCACAGCCCTGGATCTGCCCCTCCCTTTTCCTTCACAGGCAGGTGCTTTCCCATGGGGACACTGTCTCTGAGGGAGGTGCCACCAACCCCAGCAGAGCTGCACCCCCTGACTGGGGCTGAACTGGGCTGTTTCCACCCAGCACCCCCTGTTCCTGTTCCCACAGGTTCCTGCTGGGGACAGCACAAGGTGCACTGATATTCTTCAGATGTTTCCTCCGCCAGGCAGCATCTGTTTCCTGTCCTAAATATGACAGAACCAGGGTGCTGAGAGGCTGTGACTCCTCTGTCACCAAAGCAGGATGAGCCTGTGTCCTTCTCCTGTCCCTGCCCCACATGAGCACGGCTTTCCCTCAGCCCAGGGGTGCTGTGGGTGCTGCATCCTCCTTCCCTGGGCACTCAGCTCTTCCACTGCCTTCCTGTAGCCCCACTCTCAGGAAGCACTGGGCTGGAGGTTTTTACAGCTTGCAAAGTGTTTAAACACTCCCTGCACAGAGGAGCCAAATGAGGCCGGGACGTGGGATCAGGGAGCGTTTTGCTGTGGAAATCAGCTCTACCCCCCCTTCTGGCTGCTTTTTACCGGCACCCAACCCCGGATCCCGGCTGGAGGGCTCTCTCCTCTACTTCTCTCCCCTTTAGTGCTCCATAAGCACGCACTGTGCTCCCACTGGGAGGCTTAGGGAAGCACATGCCAGTAAAGCCGGCAGCAGGAGGGACTGGGAGCGAGAAGGATCAGGCTCAGCCGTATGAGGGTCCAGGATTCACCTCTCCCTTCCTCCGTGGCATCAGTGGGGCATCAGCCATCGAGCAGAGGCACAGTCTGCTCTGGATAAGTGGGAGGATGATGCTGAGGTGGATGATACAGTTCTTCACCAGCCCCTGAGCTCCTGGCTATCACTGGAACCTGCCCCTGTCCCCCAGGACAGCTCAGTCCTTCCCCCAGGGCTGTGCTGCTGCCAAGAGCTGTAGTTCAGAGCTGTGTCCAGGTGTGACCCACCCCAAGGTAGAGGAAAGAACCAGATGAAAGGAACTTTGTTCCCCACCACCTTTGGCTCCCATTCCTGCTGTGTGGCACCCACCCAGCTCTGCCCTCCCCTGCTCTGCCTGCCCAGGCTGCAGCCCGAGAGAAACCCAGCCCTGGGTTTGCTGCCCCCCAAACCTGCCCGGCTGTGAGCAGGGCTGCAGCTGGAGGAACGCTGTGAGCCTGCAGTTTAAGGCTTTGGTTTAGATTAGGATTCAGAGGTGTATTTTTAGCTCACATCATTTAGCTGAGCCCGTGGAGAAGGCGGCTCCAGGAGGAGCCCATGCTGGGCAGGTCGGGATGAAAGCTGGGTGATTCCTGCAGGATGGAACCCAGGGATGTCACAGTGAGATGGGGTTAAACAGCATTTCGGATCCTGATCCCTGAGCACTTGATGGTTTTGCCATTTAAAGGCCGTGCTCAGCTTGCTGGATTCTTGGATGGCTCCAGCGAAAGGCTTCCAGCTATTCCCCAAGGATCCTCCTACATCCTGGTGAGATAAGGATCAGGAAGGGAAGGTCTCTCTGCAATCTCAGCTGTGGCTTTGAGCACAGATTCCCTTTTCACTTTGGGGGCGGAGGGGAGGAGAACGAATTTGCTCGAAAAAAAATTATTTCGAAGTGACACACAATAAAAAAATAAATCCCACAACAATGATCTTATCGTGTGAGTCAACAACAGCCACGGCTGCCTTTGTTCTGGTGGGGCTGTAAAACACTTGCAGGGAGGAGAAGGCAGCCTCCTTGAAGGCAACTTCCTTGGAATGCCCTGCCTGGGCCCCCAGCTGGGCTCTGGGGGTCCTGGTTGCCCCCCAAACCTGTGCTCACACAGTGCTGGGGAGACATCAACGTCCCACACCTCATTCCTCTTTCCTCACATCCCAGCAGCTTCTGCCCTTGTGCCAGGAGCTGTGGAGGAGGGCTTTTTCTGGGATTTTAAAATTTAATCTTAACTTTATAGGGGGGAAAAAAAAAAAGCAGCTCATAAACCAAGAGGCTGTGAGTGGTGAGAACTGTCCTGGCTCTTCCCTGCCCTGGGAAGGAAGTGAAAGCAAAGCAGAGAGAGGATGTGAATGTGGAACAGGATCACATCTGGTGTGACAGAGAGGGATTGTGTCTGCTGAATAACCAGCCAGAGTGAGAGGCTGGAGCCTGGTGTGGGTGACCGATGTCGTGTCACTCCGTGCCTCAGTTTCCCCATCCATGGTAAGAGGAGGGTCAGTCTGGTCTTGCCAGAGCTGGGAAGGGCTGGACAGGAGCAGGGCCCTTTTGGTTTCCCTCCAAAACTCCCCATTTGGGATTGTTTCACCTGCCCCTGCATGCAGAGGCACAGGGATGTCAGAAAACTGCTTTCAGTGCTTCTCACAGATGGGAAAACCTGAAGAAACCTCTCCCCTGGCACACACACAGCTGTGCTGGAAGGCAAAGTTCACTGCCCTCAGAATGCAGATTTGGTTCCAAAGATGATTTCAACCACTGTCAAGAGCAAATTGTCAGCGGAGGATCAGATCTGGAAAGCTCTTCTTCCCTTCCACATCCCGTTCCCTGAGCTTGAACTGTGCTGGAAATCGGATTCTCCCGGTGACTCACCAACTGTGTTTGGAACAGCCAGAAAAGGTGCAGATGCCTGTTTGCTGCTGTCTGCTGACTGACTCTGGGGCAGAGCCTCAGCCTTGGCTGGTCCTGAATGTTATTTAAAGCAGAGCAGGGAGTGTGTGGAGGCTGAGCTGGGTCAGCACTGCGGGGGCCGGAGCTGGCAGATGGTGCTGAGAGATGTGACGGTGTCTGGTGGTGGATGGAGCCCCAACCTCTGCTCCCACAGCCCCCTGACCCTCTGCATCCCTCCTCCAACCCCTGCACCAGCAGCACATGCAGCCCACGACACGTGTGACCACAGCCCCTGGGACAGCCTGAGCTCGGGGTCTCCCAGCAGGAGAGATCAGGGTGGAAATAAAGCGTTAACGCCACGAGGAGCAGGGATAACCTGCATGGCTGGCATTCCCTCGGGATTTTAATCCCTGCCAGACAGCAGTCTGTGGCTTTGCCCAGTTTCTCAAGCAGCACGTG